AATCTCTCCAAATTTCGCCTTCTACCGAGATCGCACTCAAATTTTTATGATATGAACTTAAACCCTCGTTTTTGAACTTTAAATTCTTCCCAGTGGTTCCTTAATCGCGATCGCGGAAAAGGCCTCGCGATCGCGAAGAACAACTTCGCTCTCTCAGAAATTTACTTTACGCGAACGCGTAACACCTCACGCGAACGCAATACACTAGTTGCTCACACCTACGCGATCGCAATTGTCCTCACGCGACTGCGAAGAGTAACACTCAAACTCCATTGCTGCCTCACTTCTTCTTCACGAACGCGGCCTAGCCCACGCGTTCGCGGTGCACTGCCTGATAACCTTACGCGATCGCGTCTTCATCTTCGCAAACGCGAAGAGCAATTTTAGCTAACCTCTCAGATGACCCACGCGATCGCGAGATCTCCCTCATGAACGCGATGAAGAAAAATGTCTCCAATAACATCAGAAAATCTGCCAACTCCCTATGTCCAAGAATGACCCGTTGAGCATCCGAAACACGCCCGAGGCCCTCGAGACCTCAACCAAACATACCAACCAATCCTAAAATACCATACGAACTTAGTCGAGCCTTCAAATCACGTCGAACAATATCAAAAACACGAACTGTGCACGGATTGAAGCCTAATGAACTTTAAAATTTCTAAATTCTACAAACGACGTCGAAACATATCAAATCTCATCCGAATGACCTCAAATTTTACACACAAGTCATATTCAACACTACGGACCTACTCCAACTTCCGGAATCGTAATCTGACCCTGACATCAAAATTTCCACTACCAGTCCAAATCTCCAAAAATTCGACTTTCGCCATTTCAAGCCTAAATAAGCTGCGGACCTCCAAAACACAATTCGGATACGTTCCTAAGTCCAAAATCACCTAACAGAGCTAACAGAACCAACGAAATTTTATTCCGGAGTCTTCTTCACATAGTTCCGACTACGGTCCAAATTCTAAGGCTTAAACCTCCATTTAGGGACTAAGTATCCCAAAATACTCTAAAAACCAAAATGAAACCTCCCGGCAAGTCACAATAGCAGAAATAGATATGGGAGAAGCAGTAAGTAGGGGATCGGGGCTATTACTCTCAAAATGATCGGCCGAGTCGTTACATTAATATTTGTGTATATGAATATAATTATTGACTAAGTTACAAAATTTAATTTAGAATTGAATTCCATAAATGAGTTACATGTTTTTTTAAATATTTACCATAAGGCATATGATTTATATTTTTCAATGGAAATTATGTGTATATATATGTGTAAGTCCTAATTAAGAATTAGGGAGATATAGATCTTGTACATATTGTAAAGTTATGTAAAAATCAAGAGAGTTATTCTTGAGAAGAAAATTGTTTTGAGAAAGTAATAGTGTAATACAAAGCCAAGATAGAAAATACTAGTACAAGAAAATTATTTTTTGTTCTTCTACCTTTGAGTTGAGATTTTTGAGAAAAATTTCAACACAATATTTTCATTCAATTTATTCGCGGGATTTCAATGATCAAAGAGTTGATAGAAAGGATCAGTCTCGGTGTGGATACACATAGAGTCTTCGCACTATCGAAGAAATTTAAAACAAGACTCTCTTCACCAGGTACGTCTTAGATCCGATCTTTGACACGCAAAATAAATTTTAAACACGAAAAGTTCTGCCTAGGATTGTTATTGTCTTCCGCTACGTGTTATGAACACCTCTACGCAATCCTACAGATAGATAGATAGATATAGATATAGATATAGATAAATAAATATAAATATAAATATAAATAGATATATTGTTATTATTATTATTATTATTATTATTATTATTATTATTATTATTATTATTATTATTATTATTGTTATCCCCTTTCCATGCCGTACTCCGCAATACGATGTACACGCCCTCTTTGATGGACAAAGCTTCTTTAAACTCATCTTAAAAGATAACGTAATGGAGCTCAAAGTTTTGTTTCTCAAAGTCTCCTTTTCTAAAACGACGTCAAAAGCTCCTTTTAGTTGCGGCGATTCCGATTGAAGTCGTCTCAAGGCTCATAGTAACGTGGGATTGGCCCATAACTCACTATTGTCTCATAGGTATTTCAATTTCTCTCCATATCTATACATATATAATTAGGAAAAATAACTCAAAAGTATATCCGCATGACTTGCGATAATTTTTTTAAAATAGAGCCACTCAAATATAAGATACACAAAGTAAACGAAATTTTATGGGCGTCACAACATAAGTCGGTATCATTCAAACATATGAATGTGTATAACTAAATCGAATAACAAGAAATGGTGGGTTCGACGGGACATTCTTTCTTCATTCTAAGAAAGTAACAATGTAAAAAGAGTAAAGATCGACTAGACATTCTTTTTTCATTCTTTGCTTAATTCCCGTCGTAATTCCGAAACCATAGCCGACGTAGTTCAGATTAAGAGCCATAAACATTAGACACATTTTTGTTTTAGCTTTTATATTTTCTACTTTTGAATGACAAGAATCTTCATAAATGATGGTGGTGCTTTGCCATGGTTTAAATTGAATTTGGTTTTAATATGATAGTTACTGGAAAAGTAATGCAAAGTATTGAGCCAAGAACTCAACGAAAAGTATATTATGTGTAACGATCCGATCGGTCGTTTTATTTTCTAGAACCCCATTCTCCTAAATAAGACTCCCCGTATGTACTTTTACTGTTTTATGACTTGCGGGGATGGTAAGTTCGGGATTTGAAAGGTGTATGAGTCAAAATCAGATTGAGGACTAAGTCGTGCAGAATTTGACGAGGAGAGTGACTTGGAAATCGTTAAGAGTGGTGTGGTCGATCAGTAATTTCATGAGTCGAACACCTCGACAACCGAAGTGGTCGAGGTCGAGGTCGAGGTCGAGCAGTAGAGTTAGAAATAACGGCTAGTTTTATATTGGGATCCATAGAGGAAATATTCCACCGAATATCCTCTCTGTTTGTACTTTTAGGGTTCTTTGGGAATATCTCATATATATAGAAAGAGAGAGGAGGAAAAGGGGGGAGGGGGGGAGATTCCATATGATAAGAACATTTGTAAAAGGATAAGCTCTCACAAAAAATACAAAGAACTACTTTTCACCAAGATTCATCCTTTTGTGAACTATTTTATTGTCATTTCCATCAGATCCAAGAAAGTGCATAATATTCTATCTTACCCGTGTCATTCATCATTGTTAGAGAAATGAATCTTTCACCCTCTTTAATATTGGGTGAATCTTTCCCTCTATTTATATTTATTGCCATTTACTATTATTTATTACTTGCTCTCTTTATACAATATAACATCTGATCACATTTATTGCCCATATCTCATTCTGAGTATACTGTTGTTCACGTTATTCGTTATAAATCTACAATTATTAGCTCTAACTAGGATTGTCCCATCTTGATAAATTTAATTAGTTTAACCAAGGATTAACTCATTTTTTGGTCAAAAATTTTGGACTTCCTAGTCAAGGTCTTAGTTTTTCTAGATCTAAAAAAATAAGCAACAAAAGCACAACATAAAATCTTGCTTTTTCCTGCGTGCATAGTCTAACATGGCAGGTAACGGAGAGGAAAGACTGAAAGCAGTGGCATGCCTTACTGCTAACCTCCTAAACACCATCAATGAGGTCACTGGAACAGACGACTAGAATGTGACACCAAACGCTTCCCCTAGACGAAGTGGTTCACCCCTCCCTCATGACAACATCACAACCTCACATAAAAAAGGGGCCTCTACGTCCACAGCGGAAGAGGCACCACCACCAGTGAAAAAGATGCAAGAAACATGGTTAACGAATACACTGACTAACATACTCGACAAACCCGCCCAAAGGACGAGCAGGGAGGATGTACGAGTTGGCATCACATCAGCGGCTGATGAGCAGCACGACCCTCCTCCTGTAACAAGTATCACTCACACCGTTAATGATGCAGGTAATAACACCCTCACAGCTATTCTAAGAAAGATGGAGGATATGGAGAACGAGAACAAAGCGCTCCGCGGCCAAATGAAGGAACACCAAGAAAGGGTAGATAAGATACCGGCGCGCCCAAAGCTTTTACCAAAACGGGACGCCGACAGGTTCATGGAACAACTGTATAGTGGCGAGGCTGCACCACATGCCATACCTAAAACATTCAAAATGCCTCCGTACTTGAAGATATATGACGGTACGATGGACCCTGAGGATCACGTGACCCACTATGTCACTGCAGTGAAAGGCAACGACCTCGCCAAAGAACAGGTGTCATCCATACTGCTGAAAATATTTTGGGAAACTGTAACCGGGGGAGCGCTGATGTGGTACTCACAATTACTCGTGCGGTCCATAGAAATATTTAAGGAAATGGCCGACAAGTTCGTCACCGCCCATGCCGGGGCTAAGAAAGCAGAGGCAAGGGTAAACGGTAAATTCGCCATTAAACAGTCACCCGGTGAGGGACTCAGAGATTTCCTTGCCCGATTCAATCATGTGAGAATGATCCTTCCAAATGTATTGGAGGGAATGGCGGCGGTAACTTTCCAAAATGGGCTAAACAGGAGCGGTTCGCGGGCAACCAAAAAATTGTTAAGCCGACTCATGAAATACCCCCTACCACTTGGGACGAGATACATAATGCCTATTGTGCCGAGGTAAGAGCTGATGAGGACGACCTCAACAGACCAACCCAACGGTTAACCACAATCCAAATAGAGTCAAGGANGCCATGGCGACAGTCCATCCAGGCCACGGACATGAACTCACCGAAATGAAAGAGGTATGCCTCCATTGCTATCTCCTCACAATTTCTATGTTTCTCCTTCAGAAATAGTCTACGCCCTGGAGAAGCTCGGCCTAAAGGTAAAATAGCCACAAAATATGAAGTCTGATCCAAATTCCAGACAGTCGAATGCCCTCTACGAATTCCACCAGGAACGAGGTCACAAGATCGAAGACTGCATCGCTTTAAGATAGGAGGTCGTGAACATGCTCCACCAAGGGCATTTAAGAGAACTGATGAGCGACCGAGGAAGGGAAAACTTTGCTCGAGGACGCGAACAGCATCAAGGCCCGCCGAAGCCACCCTCCCCAGCCCGCACTATCCAAATGATCATCAGTGGAGGAAACGATGCATCGATCAACAATGTGAAGTTCACAACCATCCATAAGATGAAACGATCAATCACCTACGAACAGTATGACGACCTCGAAGCAAGTATCATCTTCGACGAGTCGGATACCAACGGTTTGAAATTTCCTCACTATGACGCTCTTGTTATCACTTTACGCATTTTAGATTCTAATGTAAAATGCATTATGGTCGATGGCGGAAGCGGCGCATGCATTATCCACCCCCGAGTCCTCGCACAAATGAGGCTCGAAGATAGGATAGTGCCACGCTGCATCATACTAACAGGTTTTAACAATGCAGTTGAGCGGACATCTGGGGAAATCACGTTACCCGTTTTGGCCGGTGGTATCACTTTGGAAACTACGTTCCACATTATGGATCAAGATACGACGTACAACGCCATCATAGGGAGACCTTAGATACACGCCATGAGGGCCGTCCCCTCTAGCTTATACCAGGTCGTCAAGTTTTCCACCACGTGGGGAGTGTTCAGCATCCGTGGCGAGCAACGCACGGCCCAGAATGCTACCGCATAGCCCAAGACTGCACATACACTCAGCAATTAAAGGGAGGCGCATAAACATAGCAATTAACGAGGTCGAGGTCGGATGGCGACGAAGGGAAATATGTCATCAAGGACCCCGAAGTCATGGAGGTTGCAGGGTCAACTGTGGAAGACCTCGACCTCGTGCAACTCGACAAAAGCGACCACGGCAAAAAGGCCTACATTGGCCACAAACTCCAAGAACCAGGTAAATTTCGTCAATTTTTAGCTAACAATGCAGACTTGATTGCTTTTTCTCATGCAGATATGCCGGGCATCCCGAAGGAAATAGTAACACATAAATTGAATGTCGACCCATTCTACCCCCCAGTACGTCAAGTTAGAAGAAAATTCAATGCCTCGATAAATGATGTTGTCCGCGAAGAGGTGGAAAAATTGCTTGAAAATGGCTCTATCAGAGAGTCAAAATATCCCCAATGGGTCGCCAATGTGGTCATGGTAAAAAAGAAAAATGGGAAATGGAGGATGTGCATAGACTTCACAGATCTGAACAAAGCATACCCTAAAGACTCATTCCCACTGCCCCATATTGACCAGCTCATCAACGCAACAGCCGGGCACGAGCTATTAAGTTTCCTAAACGCCTATTTGGGTTACAATCAGATCCTTATAGAGGAAGAAGACCAGGAAAAAACTACTTCCATCACCCACCAAGGGACGTACTGCTACAGAGTTATGTCGTTCGGGTTGAAAAATGCAGGGGCGACATACCATAGGCTGGTAACCAAAATGTTTAAAGAACATCTCGGCAAAACCATGGAAGTATATATAGACGACATGTTAGTCAAGTCGAAAAGAAAGGAAGACCACGTCGACCATTTGAGGGAAGCCTTCGACATACTCAGGCGGTACGACATGAAATTGAACCCTGAGAAATGCGCCTTCAGTGTAACCTCAGAAAAGTTCCTCGGCTTCCTAGTATCGCAACGAGGCATCGAGGTCAACCCCGATCAAATCAAGGCTATAGAGGGAATACTAGAGAAGTTTACCATTAAGAAGCAGGTGTAGAAGCTGACCGGCCGTATAGTCGCCCTATTGAGGTTCATCTCACAGTCCTCTGATAGATGCCACAAATTTTTCGGCGTACTTAAAAAAGATAACGGACTCCAATGGAATTCCGAGTGCATCGACGCCCTAAACGAGCTAAAGGCATACCTATCTTCGGCCCCGCTGCTTGCTAAGGCGAAACCTGGAGAACGCCTCCTCATCTACCTGGCCGTGTCCGATGTTGCAGTAAGTGCAGTCCTGGTCCGAGAAAATAAAGGTACGCAATCTCCAATCTACTATATTAGCAAGACTTTGGTCGATGCTGAAACGAGGTACCCCCACCTCGAGAAGCTAGCCCTAGCTTTGGTCATAGCTTCACTAAAGCTTACACTTTATTTCTACTGCCACCCCATCTCAGTGGTCACAACCTTTCCTCTAAGGAGTATCCTGCACAAACCCGAGCTATCGGGTAGGTTGGCCAAATGGTCCACAGAGTTGAGCGAGCATGATATAACCTATCAGTCACGAATAGCGATAAAGTCGCAAGTACTTGCCGACATCATCGCCGACTTCAGCGCAAAAATAATGCCCGAAGTAGAAAGGGAAGCCGCCAGTACTTCCCCCAAGGTATGCGACCTATGGATTCTGTACACTGATGGCGCCTCTAATGCATCAGGATCTGGAATGGGATACGTATTCGAGGTTCCAACAGGAGAGATAATTCGCCAGTCCATACGGTGCCCTGATATGACTAACAATGAGGCTGAGTACGAGGCCGTGATTGCAGGGTTAAAGTTGGCACTCAAGTACGGAGCACGACGAGTAGTTCTCCGATGTGACTCACAACTCGTCATCAATCAAGTCACAGGGACTTTCCAAATCAAGGAACAAAGGCTACAAAAATAACAAGCCGAGATCTGCAAACTGCTACCCTAGTTCGACGAATGCTAGCTCGATCAAATACCTCAAGTGCAGAATGTCTAGGCGGATGGCCTCGCCAAGATAGCGGTGGCCACTAAAAGCATAATAGGAGAAGGGAACGTGGATACTCTCCTTTACTCGTCAATCGACAAAATTGAGGTACGCACTATTAACCTAGCTTGGGACTGGTGCAATCGTATTATCGCATACCTGCAGGACGGCGTGCTCCCGAACGACAAAAAAGAAGCAAAAAAACTTCGAATGCAGGAAGCCAGGTATAGCAACATCAATAATGACATGTACAAAAGGACGTATGATGTCCCTCTAAAAAAATGTTTAGGACCAAACCAGACACGGCACGTCCTAGAAGAGGTCCATGAAGGTCACTGCGGGGCTCACACCTGCAATCGAGCCCTAGTCAGATGCCTCATCCAAGCAGGCTACTACTGGCCAACAATGAAAAAGGAAGTTACTGACTTTGTTAAAAAATGCGAACCATGCTAAAAATATGCCCCCATGATCTGCCAAGCGGGCGAGCACCTCCACTCAGTCACCTCGCCCTAGTCCTTCATCAAATGGGGAATGGATATCGTCGGCCGCTCCCCCCTGGACGAGGTAATGTGCAATTTCTTTTAGTTTTAACTGACTATTTTTCTAAGTGGGTGGAAGCAGGTGCGTTTGCTCAAGTACGCGACCAAGGAGTGATCGCCTTTATATAGAGGAATGTCGTATGCCGCTTCGGCATTCCCAAAGAAATTAGTTGTGACAACGGGCCCCAATTTATGGGAAAGAAGGTCACCGAGTTCTTCAAAAAATGGCATATCAAAAGAATACTATCCACACCATATCACCCCGCAGGCAACGGACAAGCGGAATCCTCCAACAAGTCGATATTTTATATCATGAAGAAGAAGCTCGAGAACGCCAAGGGAATGTGGCCGGAGTTGCTGCCGGAAGTGCTATGGGCATATCGCACTACTCCAAAGACAATCACAGGAGAAATGCCGTACTCACTAGTCTATGGGACTAACGCAGTGATACTGGTCGAGGTCGGAGAACCGAGTCTAAGATATTCAAATGAGAGTGGGCCAAGCAATGATGAAAGCAGAAGGCAAGACCTCGACGAGGCTGAAGAATGAAGAAACATGGCATACGTGAGAACAGTAGCCCAAAAACAACAGGCAGAGTGATACTATAACAAGAAAGCCAAGGTCAGGCCGCTCAAAGTCGGGGACTATGTACTCAAAGCCAAAACAAAGGCAAGCAAGGATCCACGGGAAGGAAAACTGGGAACCAATTGGGACGGCCCGTACAAAATCACGGCGGCATCAAGAAAAGGGTCGTTCCAACTAGAAACGATGGAAGGAAAGTTACTACCAAATAATTGGAACGTCACCCATCTCAAATACTTCAACTTCTAAGGACAAGATGTTCTCCGAGTCGTACTCTTTTTCCCTCACCTGAGTTTTGTCCCAATTGGGTTTTCTCGGGGAGGTTTTTAACGAGGCGACGGAGGGGGCATCTCGAAGTTAAGTACAAGTTCATCGCTCGACCTCTCAAATACTTCTCCAAGTCGACCAATGAAGGGACTAGATAGGATGGGACTTCTCCAATGTATGTATAAGCAGAGCAAAAACATCTAAACTTCTCCAATATATGTATAAACAAAGCAAAGTATGCAGACACACAATGTTCACATATCTCCATCAAATTAAAACATTACACTAATCCAGGAACTAACATTCGACCTCGCTCGAATCAACTTGCATTCGACCTCGTTCGAATCAATCACGAGTAACATTTGACCTCGCTCGAATCAACTCGCATTCGATCTCGTTTAAATCGATCACGAGTAACACTCGACCTCGTTCGAATCAATCACGAGTAACATTCGACCTCGCTCGAATCAACTCGCATTCGACCTCGTTCGAATCAATCACGAGTAATATTCGACCCCGCTCGAATAAACTCGCATTCGACCTCGTTTGAATCAATCACGAGTAACATTCGACCCCACTCGAATCAACTCGCATTCGACCTCGTTCGAATCAATCACGAGTAATATTCGACCCCGCTCGAATCAACTCGCATTCGACCTTTCGAATCAATCCCGAGTAATATTCGACCTCGCTCGAAACAACTTGCATTCGACCTCGTTTGAATCATGACAGTTAACATTCGACCTCGCTCAAATGTTCCGCACATCGACCTCATTCGAATCAATCATAGGTAATATTCGACCTCGCTCAAATGTTCCGCACATCGACCTCATTCGAATCAATCATAGGTAATATTCGACCTCGCTCAAATATTCTGCATATCGACCTCGTTCGAATCAATCACAGGTAACATTCGACCTCGCTTAAATGTTCCATACATAGAACTCGTAAAGAATCATATCTGACCACACTCGAATTCAACTCACGCCATAGGAAACTCGAGCTTCACGCGCCTTAACACGAGCACCCTCAAAATTAACCTCGGTGACCCTGTTAGCCGCCATCAAATCTCTAAAGATATCCAACTGGGCCTCATCATGGATCCACTTTTCATATAAATCCCGCAGCATGTCAAGAAAGGAGGAAGCATGAGAAGAGGACGGCCGAGCCAATAGCTGCACCTTTTCAGCCTCAAGAGCGGCGACTTTATCATTCAAATCGGAGACCTCCCCTTTAAGTCCTCCAATCCGCTCATTGACCCGGGCCTTCCTAAGTGTGGCCGCCTCAGCATCACACTCCCGTTCTTATTGAAGGGTGCAAACGGCCTCCTCCATCGCTGCAACTTTGGCCAAAGCTGCCTTCCTGGCTTCATCAACCCTGCCTAATTCTGTCGTCGCTTCAACCAGCTCATCATTCGGGGCGTTGAATTGGGTCGGGTTTTGCTCAAGTTCTGCCCGCAGGGGTGACAATTTGGTATGAAGATCTATGCATTCTCCCTCAACCCTAC